ATTTAATGAATGAATACATATTACTCAAACAGGTACTTCTGTCTGGGGGCTTGATGAATACAGACGATGTGAATGATGCCCAACCAAAAGCGAGCACGGTGCCATGTGGTAATTGGTCAGCATTTGCTCTGACATACATCTATATTAACTCGGTTGACCCAATTGTGAAAAATTCGCGGCCTCGGTGGGAGTCGAACCCAAACACAGCAGGGGAGACTTTTGCACAGTCAACGCTCTATCATTGAGCTACGAGGCTCACCGTGGGCCGCGAATTTAATCACACCCTGATCGATTTTACCCGCCCAACTTACTGCTTGTATGGAATCTACCAATGCGGAACAGCAAGCTTACTGCCCGGGCAGGATTTCCTGAGCAATCACCTAGAATCCACCAGAACGACTACTCAGAAGAAGGAGATGCGACCACTGGAACAAATGACTACTACGCTAAAATAATTATTAGGGAGGTTTGGCAGATTTGCTCAATTCAGTTGACGCAACTGTGGAAAACTCGCGGCCTCGGTGGAAGTCGAACCCACACAGCAGAGGAGGCTTTTGCGCAGCCAACGCTCTCCTATTGAATCAATATTCAGTCAACAGCTCTGCCAAGAACAGAATTTCACGCGAAACAAACTAGCACTGCTGGCAAGATAGTGCCGTCCTTCATAGAGGGAGTCAGGTCACAACGACGCTGCCTTAAGGTCCATTAGGAGGTACAAAGGCAGGTAGTGTCGATAAGTTGTTTGTTTAAGTGTTCTACCCAAAAATTACAGATTGAGTGGTAGCACAATTTTATGCACAAATTATGCGCAGTTCAGTCCCCAGTCCTGGTGACTTAATAGGACAATCGATTTATGTTTTAGCATATTACCTGCTAAGTATGCTTTGTATGACATCCTAAACAGGACACCTGAATAAGAACACCCTGACCACTTAAAATGGGAGCTATTCCGATTAATATTGCAGGAAGAGCAATTATTCGCATATCTTCCTCCCTAACAGAAAAGTAAACTGCAATCTTAACAACAGCCCTACCCCCAAACGGTAGTTAACGCGAACCCAAACTTTAACCCTTAACATAATCAAACCTCAAACCCTGCCATAAACTTAGCTCCTACCTTAATCCTCAAACCCATTTCCTCGGAATTTGGCGCATGTATTGCCTAGTTAGGCCTCATTGGCTGCATACTGGCTAACAAACCGTGCAGAATTTTAGCGACTTCTGCAGAAGCAAAGCATCTAGCTTTTTCAGACTCTCGAAGATGTTAAAACTGCCCCGTTTCTCAATCATTTTACCTGAACATGTATGACCAGACATGGGGACAGATTGCCTAAACCAGCATGATTGATTGCTAATAAAAAACCTCCGCAAGTCTTAAACTGTACATTGGATTGAATAATTAAGTTACCACCTTAAAGAAGACACGTTCGAATTGATTTAAAAACACACAAAAAGCTGAGGAGAACACACCCCTCCTCTGGGACAGTGCTGACACAGGGCTGGCAACGGGGAGGGGAGGGGAGAGGAGGGAATAACGATTCCGGACAGTACAAGCTTACGGACCTTGGACGGAAAATGGAAGTGTTCCACATAGCAGTCCGACATACTGTGCAGGAAGCCTTCCGGCGTGGAGTCCTCAGAGGCCGGCTTGAGAGGGAGGAAGGTGAGCTGCGTGGAACCACCACCAAAGTCCAACAAACCCGACAACGCTCCCGACTTAGTCGGGGTGCCCTGAGAGAAGGCTGTGAAGAGTGAGCCCTTGAGAAAATTGAGAGTGACCCAGCCGAAGATACCCTCGTCAACACCCTCCATGATGCTAACAGCGTCCTCCGATGGCAACCAAAAGTCAGACTCCTTTAGGAGGCTTGTAACCTTTATGTGAGTACGAATGGGCAAGGGGGGGAATGGGTAAGTAAGCAAAGGCTAGACAAAAAATAGGTTCGCAATAGGCAAAACTATTCCAATAATAGGAAGAAAAAAATAGCTACAGCCTTCAAAAAGTTGGGGCCGATTGTGTCCACCACAGGAGTAAAAGTCAATTCACAATTGATGGAAACTGAATGGGGAAAATCTTACAGGAGAAACGCACCGACTGAGCGCATTCGGTGCGGTCAGCCTACCTGCCATAATTGGGAAATGCAGTTTTACGCTCAAAGAACTACTGACAGGAGTACAATAGCCGACTAAAGGTCAAACCTTTTCCAAGTTCATATTAACTAAAGTAGATGTGAGTTCTATATAGTTTATATTATCAGGAGGGTTCTCTTTCAGTCGTGAGAAATTTTCTGGATCTTGTGTTCTTACTTTTACTTGTTACGGCTGTGATTGTGCCTGATCTAGCCGGCCTCAATGATGTCACGGGCAGTGCCTCTCAACGCGTGACGATTAGCGGCAACACATCAAAAAAACTCCGCCCATGCTTTTCTCCAGCAACAGAGACCGAAAACCGAGGGTCCAAGAACCACTGCCATGTCTTGACGAACGGTGATGAGCCAAGTCTTGAGTTGTTCTCCTCATGGACGATTGCAGGTGGGCTGCGGCGCCGGCTAGAGGGATCGACCCTGCTATCGTGTAATAAAATTTGGAACCTTGAACCAACTAGAACATAATCGATCTGCCTGGCGGTACGAGTGTCGTTTAAATATCAGGTCAGCAGATGGTTGTGACGGGGTTAAAAGCAGGTGTTGGTAGTTTGGATCGTAGTATCGTAAGTAGACATGTTTATGATGGATTTTGAGGTTTTGGAATGCAGGCGGGTCCCCAACAGCCGCTCGGATTGTTTTATCGAGGTTGTCTCCTCCAGCATGTTGGCTCAAGAACCTAACCACAAGGCAGTGTTGGCAAGCAAACCTATGTACTAGAGGTTAACGCTCGCCATGTCAGACAGTGCCGTCATTGGGACTTGCGGCATATTATGAAGCAGTCGGTGCGCCAGTCCTCAGCCCTCCGCACCGAGGCTAGTCCACGACTGCTTAGTCGCCAGACCCAGGAGCCTGCTTGTTTCGCAGCTAAGCTTAGCTGAAGGCCGTTCCACTATCCATGGCCTGTGAACGCGCCAGGTAGCTACCAGCTAGACCAGGGGTCGGCAACCTTTTTAACTCAAAGAGCCAAAAAAGCAAATATTTGGGAATATATTTTAGTGAGAGCCATATAGTATATTTTAAAATGAAATTCAATAAAATGCGAGTATAATACGCCTCTGAATTTATTCTCTTAAATGATGTTCTTACACTATTCACTGTTAATGCGACTTCCGATGCTGCATGGATTCGCTGATGGTTTTATGGTCTGGTTGGTAGTTGGTGAGGTTAAGCTTCATGCAAGCGTTGAGGTTTTCATCCGTTAGAT